TGTCAAAGGCCTTACAGAGGTCCAGATAGACAACATCTGTGCCCTTCCCATGTCCACTGATGTAGTCCCTCCATCATAGAAGGCCACTAGGTTAGTCAGGCAGGACTTGCCCTTGGTGAAGCCATGCTGGCTGTCTCGAATCACCTCCCTGTCCTCCATGTGCCTTAGCATAGCTTCCAGGAGGATCTGTTCCATGATGTCCCCAGGCACAGACGTGAGACTGACTGGCCTGTAGTTCCCTGGGTCCTCCTTTTTTCCCTTTTTAAAAATGGGGGTCATGTTTCCCCTTTTCCAGTCAGTGGGAACTTCACTGGACTGCCACGACTTCTCAGATATGATGGATAGTGGCTTAGCAACTTCATCCACCAGTTCCTTCAGGACCTACGGATGGATCTCATCGGGTCCCATGGACTTGTGCACCTTCAGGTGTCTTACATGGTCTCGAACCTGACGTCCTCCCACAGTGGGCGGCTCTTCATTCTCCCAGTCCCCGCCTTTGCCTTCTGCAGCTTGGGCTGTGAGGCTCAAGCACTTGCCGGTGAAGACTGAGGCAAAAAAGTCATTGAGTACCTCAGCCTTCTCCGTATCCCGGGTAACCAGGTCTCACATTTCATTCCAGAGAGGGCCCACATTTTCCCTTGTCTTCCTTTCATCTCTGACGTACCTATAGAATCTTTTCTTGTTGCCTTTAAGCATCCTTGTTTTATTCTGTTGTGTTTTTTTTTTAAGATTCCATTGCTTATTTTGCTACAAGAGGTAGGACAGTGATGTTGGAAGTACTTATAGCAGTCTTTGGTTTTCATAAACATATGTTTCATAATATAATGGGATGGAAATAACACTTCAAACACATTTGCTTCTTGATTTTTACATCTGTGTAAGGCTGAATCTGATTCCACTTCTATGACATTATACAAGGAAGGCATATTTTCTTCTAGCATAACTCTGAAACATTGTAAACTTTCCAAACATGGAATGCTTTCAGTAGAGGACTTGGCATGATCCAAACATGAAGATTTCACAATTCTATTAATGCATGTAGTGGTAAGGGTATTTTTCTTTGTACCAAGGAAGAAATTTATTGGTAATGCCTATCTAGCATCTCTGATCAGAGGGTTTTCCCAAACATTTCAGAATGATAGTTGTGTAATTTGACTATGGATTTTTCTTCATCCCTAAAGACAAGCTAGCTGTTACTTTTTACTGGACATTGAAAGCAAAGAGGTCTGGAATAAACTACTAATCTTAACTTTAATTGCCATCTTATGGAACAATTGTTTTCACGTGCAGAGGCTGTATACAGAATGGCTATAAGAGTCATAGGTCTTGAGAGCCAGTAGTGGTCTTGTGTATGTCTATAGGTGCTGTAGTCATTAGCTGAGGATTCAGCTGCTAAAGCCCTTGTAGCATGTGGTCACTGTGATGGTGCCATGTCCCTGTATCTTCCTGTACCTTTCACCAGACTTCCTGTTTGCAATCTTTAGGACTTGGTAGTTTTTGTCCTGGTGCACCCAGCTTTCCAGCTTAACTGTGGATTTGGTGAGCACAAACTGATTTAACTCCTGCAAAGAAGCGTTGTTTCAAACTCAGAAGGATGGCCTTGTGTATTGATATGTGGAAGGGTAGAAACCCCAGCACTTGGTTCAGTGAAAACAAGACCTGATCTAATATTAGTCAATAGAGAGCAAGGGTTTCTTCAATAACAAACTTCTGTGAAAGTGGTTTTTTTATTGTTTGGGTGTGTCAGTGGGGGTCCATGGTTCTGATCATTGTCAAGCCTTAAGAAGGACTTCCCAGATGCTTTCCTCCTAAGTCACATGCCTCTTTGCTATCAGTATGAGAAAGTGGTCAAAACAGTCATTGTATCATACTAGTTCACTCAAGAAAAAGAACTATATGTAAATAAGCCTTTCTGTGAAAACATGTTTTCCATAGCCAGGTACTTCTAGGTTGGTATATACTCATCTTGACATGATTTTGAATATTTTCAGTAGTACAGCTCAGTCCCCTTTGTAATGTCATGAAATGAAATCTGTAAGAAACTTTTCTGTTTAACTGTGCCTAGCTGTTGACCATCTTAATTTTTTTTCTTTTAGGTATTGGCACATTAATAGCAAACCATGTTTATGATGCAGCATACCCACTTCATGATGTATGTATATACTATTAAAAATCTAGTTCTCTGATGGTATCACTCAATAGTGCATATGTTTATTGCCTGTGACAACGAAAATATATTCTAAGTGTGTGATTCTAGTATGAAAACTCTTACATAAGTACATTTCAAGTTGTGACCTAAAAGTAAAATCAACAATCTCAGAACAACTGAGCAATCTTTTCTTGAATTTTATCTGGTTTTACATCAGTTATTAAATTATTTTCTTTCTCTAGGGTGAATATGAAGGCCAAAATGATGACATGAATGAAAGAAAGGTAAAATACATTGCAAAATGAATTTCATATTAGATTTAATATGATAAATGTGAATTAGTGTCCTAAATACTATCATAAAGCATTAACCAGTGTTCAATCAAGTAAATGTTTTTACAAATGCACATAATTTTTGCATTACTTATTTTGCTCTATTTATGCATATAAACAAATTTTCACAAGGCTTTTTATAAAGTCTTCTTATGAAGTATTTCAGTGAATTTAATTTGATATTTACATCTTGAAATGCTTCAATTTTCCCTCTGCATGCATAGACAAGATTTTTCAACCTGTCAGGAAGCAAAAGTTGTTAAATAACTTATATGATTATTTTCTTTCCACAGCCAGATGGTACTATAGAACAATGGTTACTAGAATAAAATATAGTTGTATTTTTCATTTGATTATGCATTCAATTAAATTACATGCAATTTCTAAAAATCTGCTTCCAATTATTTTGTAAATAAAAAGTTTCTAGCTATCAAATGACTTTTGAAAATATATCACCCACCAACTGTCTGCACAAGAGAAATGGATGCATAATCAAAGACTATGCGAATTCATACTGTTTTTAATACATATACTTACTATTAGAAATGAGCAAAAACATTTAATTACTGTAATCCACTAAGATCCATTCCATATTGTTCACTAATGTTTGCTCTTTTTTTTTTTTCCTTTACATACAAAAAATAGGACGGGAAATGAAGGGGGGAAATTATGGGGACAGAAAGGGGGAGAGGGAAGAATGAAGAAAAAGAGAATGTTTGGATGCCTAAAATATTTACTACACTAGAAATTCAATCGCATATATTCTTGGTGACTTGTAAATAATTTTATGAATGCTTTTAACTCTGTGGTATTACATGTTGGTATATGCCATCTGTTGCTTGAAGGAGAGGTAAGAAAATGCCATTAATTTGGCAAAACACAGTGTAGTTTTCAAGAGTATAATTGCCACAAATAATGGTTATTTGAGCATTTGAAATGAAGACTGACTTCATAGGTCATACAAATAAATTTGATTTCTCCAGGATTAGTAAAAATTTGAGTACATAATCTTCTTTGTAGTTTTTGGTAAATAGTGTTAACATTCAGCCACTAGATGTCTTCATGTGCAATATACAATTTAATTTAGTATATGAACCTTGATAAGCAAAAGAGACAAAGCTGGAAAACAAACTATGAAGAAGCTTGTATATTTATGTCTGTTATTTTGAACTTTTTGTTCATGAAGAAATTGTCTATGCTGTACTTGCAGAATTTTCTCTGAGTAACTGATAATAGCGATACAGTAATGGACTCTAGAAGTCAGCTACATAGTTTACTGACTTATAAGGTTAGCAAAATTTTTAGAGAAGAAAGGTAAATGAACATTAGTCAATGGAGGAAGATTGGGTACTGTGGAAAAGGGGGGAAGAGGGCCTAAAAGGACTAGTGTCTGGAAAAATATTCACCCTACTAGTTGTATTTTGCACTGCCTTCTTTTTATTCTGCCTATTAGGCTCAGTTATGAAGTGTTAAGTATTAAAAACATAAAAGGTTCTTTCCAGAAATACTCCATTGATTACTCACATATGTCTCTGCTGCCTAGCCATTGAATCTGCTGTAGTATTTCTATGCATAACATCATCTGTTTTCTATCTGAATCTAATAGTCTCAGTGTTTAATTTCCTGAAAAGCCCCGATCAGGTTTAAAGGAAAGGAGGGCATTTCTCAGTTTTATTTTTCTCTGCCCCTTTTTATTTTGTCCGTTTTAACTTATCTGTATCTTCCATTTCAATTGTCTGTTGTATAAGCCCAAAGAATGATGAACTGAGCCTGTCCGGGGTACTTATGCCAATAAGGCAGCACAAGTAATTAAGGTTTATGTACCAGTTCATAATATAAAAGGTTAATCCTTATTAACCCACTTCAGGATTTCCTTGGAAAAAATGCACTGTGAAACAATACTTTTGTCTCATCCTATGAAAATTAGAAATCTGCAGTCAGTGAAACCCACTCTTTTCCTAAGACTGTTGGTTAGAGTAAAGGAATTTCCCTGTTTTGGTGTGATTTCTGCTCTAGAAAAAATCTTTTTAAGAAAGCTATTGCACAGCAGCATGGTAATAACTTGCCATTAGTATAAACACTGACTTGGTCTTTTTTAAGCTTCTAGCCCACTGGCAACTTGTAACCCTTCATTGCTAGCAACATGTTTGACATTGAGAAATACATAGGGGCTTTGTTACCTACCTGGGAACTACACTGTTGTCATATACTACAACAACATCCCTAGAATATTAGAAGCAGATTGGAAAGTATTGTTATAAACTTACAGAAAGTACTGCTTTTAAGTGAAGCTGATAAAGTACAATAAATTATATTACAAAACTCTTCCTAGAATTCCTTTCAATTTAGTAAATATCATGAAAGGAAGCACATTCCAGCTTCCAGATTAAGCTTAATCTTCTAAAATTGCAGTGTTGAGACTGAGGTTTAGTGTGGGCAACACACATGAATGGAAAATATTCATGCCATAAACTCACCTTCAGTGCTTTGGAATCAGAATAACCAGTGTGATTCTGTAGTCTGACATAATGCCATAGCAACCTGTTCCCGAACTGACCGCGATTTTAGAAAGACCTTTCTTTTTGCTCTTCAAATTTCATTCTGTAGCTACGTTCAAAGCAGCTTTTGAGTAGTTCTAATAATTTAATAGCTTTAACTGTCTTGTTTCGTATATTTCAGTGAATGCATTTATTAGTATGATCATTTATGCAAATAAATAAAATTGTAGGTAATGCTGTGGGTAATGGCAAAGGGTGATTTTGAATAGGTAATCACAAGTATTCATATGAAAATATCAATATGGCAGCCAGGGCAATCCTCTTCAATTCCTGTTGAAGCCAAAGAAAATCAAACCTAGTCTCATAATTTCTTTCCACAAGTGCAAAGCATTTTGCAAGACTCTGCTCCGTAAGAGCAATATTCTAAAAGCCAAGACTCCATACTCCTTGAATCTCATTGCAGAATTCCCAATTGCTTCAGCAGTGTAGGGTTTACTTCCTGATCTATGAAAATACTTTATGATGTATCTTTAATGAGTATGCAATGGCATAGCTCTGTTCACTTAAATGGTTGCAAACCAGTTACCGTATTCTGAACAATAATACTTCGTTGGTGCATGTTTGCAGGATCCAGGTCTTAATTGGTCACTTGATATTTATATAGTTTTCACATAGTATCTGCAGGAGGAGAGGCATTATAAACAGTAGAAAAATGTGATTGGAAAACCTCGAAATATCTCAAGGTAACTCTGCAGTTACAGTATCTGAAATTTCTCCACACTTACTTTAATTGTGCTGTTAACTTCATAAGATGGTGTAGCGTGCTGCTAGCTGTCAAAATGGACCATCTGACAAATGCAACTACTGATAATTGCAAAAACTATATGTACTTTGGTTACTAACATCCTCTCCAGCTCTTGCATGCTTACATAACTCCATTGTACAATAATCTATTATTTACTGGAAAAAAAGCACCATGCTTAATGAGCATCTATTTTGCAGATAGAACTAAACAGTTTGCAATCTAGTCTGGAACTAAGCTGATGAGTTCCATGTATTACACATTTTGAAAAAATCTGTATCTTACTGTTTTAAAATTACTGCTTTTGACTGTCTTTGGAGTTCCTTTTTTTCTGTTAAAGTAAAAAATAAGTAAAAAAATATTTAACTTAACTTCTCTGCAGAATATCATCTGTATGTACCTGGTTGTGTATTCGTGTGCATGTGTTTCTTGGTTTGTGCCTTCCTCCCCAGCAGTTTTAAAACTTATTGCCCAATCCCAGCCAAAGTTTACAGAAGAATAGAAACCTCCAAGGTATTAACTCAGCAATTACATTGCTTCACATTAACTACAGTTTCCATGAGATAGGTGAGGGACTGTCAGTGCTAACAGCAAGGGAGAAACTGAAGTATGAGGTCATCTCTTGGAGCCAGCAGATATTCCACACAGAAGCTCATTCTCAAAACACAGTTTCATCACTACTCCAATTTTACTAGGAATGACGTGGTGCCTTATTTTAAAGGAGCTGCCCGCACCTCTCGTATGCTACTCTTTTTCTGGACCCCCTCCACTTCCTTTTAGAAAATAGGGATAAAAACCTGCCTTTTTGGATGATACAGATTTATAATCTATAAATAGTGATGTGGTTAATTTTGTTTCATTTATCATCATATTCTGGTTATTTGTTTATTATTTTTTGATGCACTCTGTACTTCAAGAAATAGTTTTCAATGAGCATGTTGTCTTAGACTGCCTACAGTCTTGTCACAGCATAAAACTGTGAGAGGAATACAAACGATTCAGGTGGTTCCACAGAAAATTCTGCTCCTTTGCACAGGACTGAGCTGATTTATATTTTCCTCTGAAGATCAAATATGGTGAACAGTCATCTAACTTTGTTAGATCCTGATGATGTTTCCTCTGAGCTTCCTTTGGTCTTCATATAATTCTGGAAAGCTTCATTTTTGAATGTCCTTTCTGGATTATTAATAAATGCATACACAGTTATAAAATGTCTTGCTATCAAATTAACTCTTTTACCAAATTGTTAATTGCATGGTAATTTCTATCCAGTGGCTGGCTTTTGTTTCAGAACAGCGTGATGTCTTTCACACCATAATTACCAGTTTCTTTTACAGCCTCTTGTAAAAGAGTATCAAAGGTTTCTTTCTTCTTTTTGAAAGTTCAACAAAGTTGTGTCACATAGATCACAGCAATGAAAGAGGGAATGAGGAAGACTATCCTGAGTCCCTTGCCTATGGCAGTTGGGTGTAAAAGAAAGATAGAAAGAAGAATATCCATTCTGCAAGTAGAATTATTTCTAGCATCTTTCCAAAGATTTCCACAAGACTACAGCATCTTTTATTTTTCCTTTTGAGCCTTTCTATTTAACATCACTATCTAATAAATGTGGTGAGGAGTGGGTAGGTATGGGGAGAAAGACGTGTGTACACCATCCTCTCGCTGCTTGCTTGGTTGGAGTCGTCCATAACTGTCTGAAAAATATACTTGGAAGTTTGTTTTGAAGTATGGGAAACTGCTTTTTTTGGTACATATATTTTTAACTCTTAGAAGATGATTGTAAAAGCAGATGGGAGCACTTGTTTCAAGTTAATTTTCTGTTGTTTTTTTTTTTATTTAGTTGCTGTATCGAGAATGGGCAAGATACGGAGTATTTTACAAGTTTCAGCCTATTGACCTCATAAGGTAATATGGACATGTATAAAACACTAAGGGACCTGGTTCTTAGCTGATGCAGATTAATTAATTTCCTTCCAGTTGCTCCAGCAAATGAAATCTTGGATTGATCAGAGCATTAAAAACAATTCTCTCACTGCTTTTCTGTAGCTCTGATAATAGTTTACTGTAACAAAAATACACTAAACAATAATGTACCTCTGTTTTTGTATAGTGCTTATTCCTGGATGAATGTCATACTTCAGATTTTTTTTTTTAAAAAAAACATTAATTCTTTCAAAAAAGAGGAATTTCCATTTTCATTGATGAATTTTTATTGGAGAGTATAGTCACAAAGTCTGATGAATAATCAGAAGCTGGTGTTCACATCATGAATCAGTGTGAAAGTATTTGACAGTTTTGAGATTGATTTGATTTTTTTACTCCTGGTTTTACAAGTTTTATTCATCTGAACACATCCATATGTGTTCCTAGTGTTTTTTGTATATTTTGAATTTTGACGTTACAAACATAGAAGAAGTTGGGCTTAAAATAAGACAAAACAAAACAACGATGCTTTTTAAGGAATTTCCACAATATCTCTACAAGAAAGCCAAACCAAAACAAAACAATTTTTGTTGTATATTATAAATACTGAGTAAAGAAAAGGAAATGTTTGTGAAAACTGCTGGCTTGAAATATTCTTACATAAGATATCTCGCTAGGAATAAATGAACTGTGATATTAACAAACAAACCATAGGAAAAAAAAACCAAACAAAATCTGTTTCTGGATAATTTGTATACATAAGAAAGATGACATTCATTAGCATTTATCTTTCAAATAATCAAACTACAACTAGGCTTTTTATACAATCTGCCTCTACGTGATTACCTGCAAAAGCTGGTGTTAGTAATACAGATAATCAATAATCTTTGTAAAATGTATTTATTATATTTTGAGTTAAAGTTGAAATGCTGCATAAAGTTTTTCAAAGACTTAACCATTAACTTGTAGTGTGAGCAGAATTGCTCTTTATGGGGAGAGAAATGTTTTAAATTGACAAATGGTAGTGAGACCATCAAATCTTATTGAGGTTCTGCAAGGCTTTGAAATTTCCACTTCTTTGCCTCAATGTTTTTGTGCAGGATTTATGTACTTTTTGAACACCAGTTATTCCAGGCCAGGCTACTGTATGGAATAGATAAACTCAGAACAAGATTACAACACTTGGGATGTTGTTAGTAAATATTACAAATGTTTAGTTAAACTGTGACTGGCTAGAGGAATTCTCAAGTTTTACCCGAACTGACAACTCAGCTGAATTAAAAATAGAGGTACATCTGCTTACACTCCATCTTCATTTGTATCTTGCTGTCTTCATTATAATGTTTCACTATACTGATATGATTTCATAGAAATTCTATGGTTTAAACTTCTGTGAGAAAGAAAAAAAGACCAGACGTGCAATTGATTCTCTGTTCTCAGAGATGATTTTTCTTGCTTTTATCTTCTACACTTTGCTTGACTGCAAGTTTGACTGTTAGCACTAGAATAAATGTGGTTTTTATTTTCTGGGTAATGTTAGAGCTTTAGAGTATATATACCTGAAGAATTACTACCCTTTTCTTTCTGCAGCTGAACTAGGTTTTTGCACCTCTGTACCATGGGGGGGATTTGAGCTCAGTGTCAATGTGGATGCTTATTCCCTTGGCAAACATGAACTACACTTTGTGGATTTTGATAATTTACTGTGATCCTTCTTTCGTAGATTGATTAGATTATAGCCAACTTTTTTCTGGTTATGGGATCACTGTGTAACTCAACAAGTTTATATACAGGCTTTGATGGACAGAAGAAGCAGCATTTATTTTGCCTTATATTCAAAGCCTTTTCTGACTGATGATTTCAAATACATTAACAGTGTTGAAATATGTTGCTTAAATAATATTCACATCCCCAAATTAATTAGACATTTTAGTCTAATTTTTAATACAACTTGCAACAGTGCAAATCTTTTTAACTATTTTAACTATTTCACCTTTTTACAGTAAGAATGCAAATTGAAAGTCATTCTTTAACCAAAGTGCCTATGCTGGAAGACTAGATATGGCACTGTAGAGTTATTATAAATCATTCCTGGTGCCTCAGTTCCTTGCTTCTGGCCATACAGGTGTTGCCAGTTTCCAAGTGATTGTACATCAAAGCTAAGAACCACGTATTTGTTATGCTCACTCTTGGCACAGACCAGGGATTCTCTGAGGTGCCTTCTAAGGTCTGATATCCTGAGGAAATGCTAACTGCATAGTCAGTTATAGAATATTTTCAAGTTCTTAAAAATATAAAACCAAATAAAGGACCATTACAATATTCACTGACAGTTCCATTCACCCCTGTGTCTTAATCTGTAAAAGTATTCTGCTCTGGCTTTATGCACCTCTTTGGGCTATAGGGAAAAGCTAATTTTTTTTTGTAAATTAAGAAATACAGTTGTTATTGAGGAGGGCTTCATCAAATAACAACATGGTGGGTGTTACATATTTCTATTCTACAGCAAAACAATTCCAGTTAAAAACTTTAAGGGAACATATAGTGCAGATTATGCAGATAGTACAGTGTGAATTGAGGGTTGATTTGTAAAAAGTTAATAACACCCAGTCTCTCAGTGCACATCCAGATATTAAATAACATTGCTTAAAACAAAGCCTGGCTAATGCAGTGCTTTATTTTCAAAAGCATATGAATGTCTAAATATAGCCATATTAATTACATTTTTGCCTTTCATATATGTCTATTTTCAACTCAGATGAAGAGGATGATGAACATTTTTTTGAGAGGGAAATTACAAAATTTTTGCTAACATATCTTAGGCTATTTGAAGGTTTACCTCCGCTTTCAGTCACCCTTAGACTTGGAAGGGATGAGTGATATATTAACAAGTAGAGAATGAAAGTTGCAGGTCTAGGATGTGCAGGGCTCTAGAGGTTTGCCTGTTATAATGTACTTTTTTTTCTCATCCTAATTTAAGTATTGATTTCTACTAGAGAGGAGTTTCTCTAGTGTAGCTTTCTTGTAGGAATGCACTTAACCAACAGTAGTTCCTCTCAATCCTTGTAATGTAATTTAAAAGGTGCTATAAAAACATATCTGTGGTTCATTGATTTTTTTCTATTTTGATGATGCTCTTTCCTCAAATGAAGATGAGTTCAAATCCAGTTCTTAGCAATTTTTGCAGTTAATCCTTTTGTTAATTTCCTAAGGGGTAATAATACTGTTGATCCAGAGACAGGGAGGACACTCCCTACGAGTTTTATGAACATGCGTAAAGAAATCAGGTTTTATGATTTTTTTATAAATGTTATAATATGTTAATCCAAGTTTTAACTAGTGATTCTAGAATGAATAGGTTGTGAATAGAGACCTCTGGAGGTCCCTAGACATACCCTCCACTCAAAGCAGGGCTGGCTTGAAAGCCAGATCAAGTTGCTCAGGAGTTTTGAAATCTCCAAGGGTGGAGATCAACACGGCCTCTCTGGGTACCCTTTCCAGTGCTGCACCACACTCAGGGAAAAATTTTTTCCTTCTGTCCAGACCAAATTTTCCTTGGTACAACTCGCAGCCCTTGTCTCTTGTCTTTTAGCAGTGCACCTCTAATGAGTTATAACAGATCAAGAAAACATACAGCAAGCATAAGAAGTGCAATAGAATTTATAATGAATCATATTTCTGGTTGAATGCAACCTTTATCACTTAGGAGCTCTAAATGACAGATGAAGTGAGTCTGCTAAGGTTACTGATATCACAAAGAGGTGGTTATACTTCTGAGACAAAAGCTTACTTAACTCCTGGAAAATTGGCAAGTTACCTTCTTAATGGACATCTTGAAGTACTTGCAGATGGGAACCTGTGTATGAACTGAAATTCCGGATAGAGGACCATCATCATAGAGGGGAGGACTCCTTTTGTTATCTTATTATTAATATAAAATTATCTCACCCTAAGGAAGACAGCCAGCATGACTTCACCAAGGGCAAATCCTGCCTGACTAACCTAGTGGCCTTCTATGACGGAGTGACTACATCAGTGGACACGGGAAGGGCTACAGATGTCGTCTATCTGGACCTCTGTAAGGCCTTTGACATGGTCCCCCACAACATCCTTCTCTCTAAATTGGAGAGGTATGGATTTGATGCGTGGACTGTCCAGTGGGTGAGGAATTGGTTAGATGGTCCCATCCAGAGGGTAGTGGTCAACAGCTCAATGTCCAGATGGAGATTGGTGATGAGTGGCGTCCCACAGGGGCCTGTATTGGGACCGGTACTGTTTAATATCTTCATCAATGACATAGACAGTGGGATCGAGTGCACCCTCAGCAAGTTTGCAGGTGACACCAAGCTGAGTGGTGTGGTCTACACGCCAGAGGGATGGGATGCCATCCAGAGGGACCTGGACAAGCTCGAGAAGTGGGCCCGTGTGAACCTCATGAGGTTTAACAAGGCCAAGTGCAGGGGTCCTGCACCTGGGTCGGGGCAACCCCCGGTATCAATACAGGCTGGGGGATGAAGGGATTGAGAGCAGCTCTGCCAAGAAGGACTTGGGGGTACTGGTGGATGAAAAGCTGGACATGAGCCAGCAATGCTCACTTGCAGCCCAGAAGGCCAATCATATCCTGGGCTGCATCAAAAGAAGCGTGGCCAGCAGGTCGAGGGAGGTGATTCTGCCCCTCTACTCTGCGCTGGTGAGACCCCACCTGGAGTACCGTGTCCAGCTCTGGAGCCCTCAGCGTAAGCAAGACAGAGACCTGTTGGAGCAGGTCGAGAAGAGGGCCACGAAAATGATCAGGGGGATGGAACACCTCTCCTGTGAAGAAAGGCTGAGAGAGTTGGGCTTGTTCAGCCTAGAGAAGAGAAGACTTCGGGGAGACCTTCTTGCAGCCTCTCAGGACTTAAAGGGGGCTTATAAAAAAGATGGCAGCAAACTTTTCAGGAGGGCCTGTTGCAACAGGACAAGGGGGAATGGCTTTAAACTAA